CATCGCCGCATCGCGCTTCGCTGCCTGCCTCTCTCTCTAGCTACCGAGGTCCACGTCGGCGGTGTCGTCGCCGAAATGGAGCCGATCCGATCGCCGCCGCAGAAACCTCGACCTCCGCCGCTGCCAAGACGCGCCGTGATTCGCCGCCGCCACGCTTCGCCTCGCTTAGTTGCTTTGCCCGGCTCCGCTGCCGCCACCTCGACGCTTACGCGCTGGCCAAGGCTCTCTTGCCGCTTCGCTCGCGTTCTCTGCTGCCACGGCAAGTTAAGCCTCCTGCCGACGCGCCAGGCTCGAGGCGACCGAAGGCCGAGATCGCCTCATGGACATGACGCGCGCACTGGGAGGGCTGCTGCGTGGGGAGAGGGCTGCCTCAGACGAGCTCTGCTCGTCTGCGGGGAGGAGTGAGCAGGAGCGGCCGGGGCTGCTGCTCGCAGCTGGGGCTGTTGTGTGGCTGGGAGAGGGGATGAGCAGGAGATGCTCAGGCTACAGGATAGTACGGCTCTTATACCAGTTGTTAGTCGTTGAACTCGCACTCTCGGTAGTAGCAGAATTCTTACTCTCATCGAGAGAGGATGATACTAGGAGTTATGGCAATTTTCTGGTTTATTTCTCACACAAACTCACACAAATGCCATACCAACCTGAGGGGTTGGGGATACATATTTATAGACTGCTAGCCAGCCAAGCATATGCAAAGATGCTAGTCTAAGATGCTAATATGCTGTCCTATGATGTCCTCTAAGATGCTGTCATAAGATGCTGTCCTAGAGTCTAAGATGCTAGTCCTATATGCTGTCCTAGATGCTGTCCTTCAGTCAAGGATGCTGTCCTTGATAACCACCATGCAGCAGCCCCACAAAGACCAGCCCCACAAAGACTTATCCATCACCTCTTCCCTCCCTCCGCCTCTCCATATCAGAGGAGCGCACCCGGATTCTTTGGGGCAGGTGGCGTGCGGCCATGGAGACACCTTCCTCTCCCAGCAGCCCTAACACCACTCGCCGGCTCCCTGCGCAGGTGACTCAAGCAATGCCTGAAACCCTAGCTGCGGCCCCTTGCCCTCCTCTCTTCTATGCCTCGACACCATTGGAAGCCTGTGCAGCTCAGTCCATAGGACGGTGATGCTGCTGCCATGGTGGAAGAGACGGATGAATCCAAGATGCGAGGAGGCCGAATTTGTCGATGTCCAGCCAGATCCACGGTTGCTTGTAGCGAGGGATGCCGGATCTGGGCTGGATCCTCGCGGTCAGCTCGCTTGGGATCGAGCCGGTGAGGGGCAGGCCGTCACTCTCGAGTCGGAGGCGTCCTCTGTCTTCTCACACTACGGCGATGTCTACCTGAACCGTTGCATAGGTGTGTTCCCCCTCCCCCTCGCACTTTTGCTCTGTTGTACCTTGTACGTAGTCAAGCTGCTAATCTGTTCTGCCCGTTTTCCTTTGCTGTCTCTAAGATCCACAGAGAACTATTCGGTTTCATCCCAGAGCCCAGTGGATTTCTATGCGCATAGTGTTCTTCTTTGAGCATTAGTATTGTTTATTGACAGTTATGTATCATTTTTTTGCACCTTGTATTGTGTGGTTATGACCATCGACATCTCGCAGAAGCCATACTTCCTAGACGTCGACACCGATGGTGACCTCACCTGGCTGCACAGTGCACCCCCTGTGTTAGCTGCAACAAGGCACCGTTCCTTTACTATTAGATCCATCGATTCTCTGATCCTGTGTTACAGGATTCGATGTTTGGTGGAACCGTAGGCTGAAATACTGTGGATATGGATTTGTGTTTATTGCAACTACTAAATTTAGTCTTGAGTTTTCCATCCAAGGGCCATTTTAGATGCACCTAATTTTAGATGCACCTATTCTTCTATAGTGAGATGCCTCAGCCCAAATTATGCAAGTTGCAAACCCTAGCTTGCTCACATGGTTTTCATTGACTTGGAGAAGGCTTATGACAAGATATCAAGGAATGTTATGTGGTGGGCGTTGGACAAACATAAAGTCCCATCAAAGTATGTTACCCTCATCAAGGACATGTACAACAATGCCGTGACTAGTGTCCGAACAAATGATGGTAACACAGATTACTTTCCGATTAAAATAGGACTTCATCAAGGATCAGCCTTGAGCCCATATCTCTTTGCCTTGTTAATGGATGAAGTGACTAGGGACATTCAAGGGGATATCCTTTGGTGTATGCTGTTTGCAGACGATGTAGTGCTAGTTGATGAAAGCCAGGCAGGAGTAAATAGGAAACTAGAGTTGTGGCGGCAGACCCTTGAGTCCAAAGGTTTTAGAGTAAGTCGAACTAAAACATAATACATGAGATGCGACTTTGGCAACGCTACACATGAGGAGAGAGAGGTGAGTTTGGAAGGTCAAGTGGTGCCTAAGAAAGATATCTTCCGTTATCTAGGATCGATGCTGCAGAAGGATGGAGATATTGATGCAGACGTTTGCCATAGGATTAAAGCAGGGTGGATGAAGTGGCGCCAAGCATCTGGCATTCTCTGTGACAAGAGGGTACCACGAAAGCTTAAAGGCAAGTTTTATAGAATGGCAATTAGACCCGCTATGTTGTATAAGCAGAATGTTGGCCTACTAAAAGACGACATGTCCAACAACTGAGTGTCGCAGAAATGCGTATGTTGCATTGGATTTGTGGTCATACAAGGATGGATCGAGTTCGGAATGATGATATACGTGACCGTCTAGGGGTAGCACCAATTGAAGAAAAGTTTGTCCAACATCGGTTGAGGTGGTTTAGCCATATCCAAAGGAGACCTTCAGAGGCACCAGTGCATCGTGGAGTTCTAAGTTGAGATATCAATGTGAGGAGAGGTAGAGGAAGACCGAAACTGACATGGGGGGAGGCAATAAAAAGAGATTTAAAGGGTTGGAATATACCTAGAGATCTTTGTTTGGATAGGAGTGCTTGGAAAACAGCTATTGACGTGCCTAAACCGTGATTAGGGGCTCATGTTGGATTTCAACTCTAGCCTACCCCAACTTGCTTGGGACTAAAAGGCTTTGTTGTTGTTGTTGTTGCAAACCCTAGCTTGCTGTGCTCTACAAATTGGAAATAATGGAGTCAGATTTATGCAACTTTTGGAATGAATAAACATTGCAGTGCATTGGTGTATAAAGTCATGTGTGAATTTCAGTATCTTATACAAAATGTGTAATTTGTTTTGCCAGTCCTCCAAACCAAACTTTTCTTAATTGTGCATAACATATCCATGAGAATAATTCAATATGCATTTGTCAGCAAGTTGCAAAGAATATATATAAATATAGGACAAATGTGTCCTGCAAAAGACAGGTGAAACAAGGAAAATAGTTATGCCTGAAACATGAAATAGGTTGTATGATGTATAGCCCACAACTGATCCTGCGCTTTCCTGAAATTTCATAGAATTTCCACTGGCCTTAGGTATTCCAGTTTTCCTTTCCATGTTTTGTCAATACCTTTGAATTCATACCTTTCATCATGAAAGTTGGGAATATTTCAGAGCATGTCCATCCAAGTCATTAGTAAGAAATGGATATGCAGTTTGCTCCAAGAAAATCTACCATGTAGGGATTGATGTTATATGTCTGTTAGCTATTTTTTCCTTGCATAGTGCCACCTTTTATCCAGTGACGTATAATTATAATTTACAATACCACTGTGGCCAACAAGTTACATACTTACATTCCTCACTGATGGTTGATAGGTCGCTGCGAGATTGATAGCAGAAGATCACTATCAAGGTTAGACGGGCAAACGATATCACCTGTCTGATGTCCGTGTGCTCTACTGCTCTTTAAATTCTTATAATAAGTAAAGATCTTGTCTATTGCAGGTTTCCCCATTAATGACTATGATGTTCTGTCAGATCTTAACCTTAGATATTCTGATAAAGCATATAGGTAAGTAGCATCTTATACTTTTATGTGTTGTTAGATGTTCTGATTTGAAAATCTCATCGAGATATCTAAATTTACTAATCCAATTGCTTGCGGATCTCGCTCATATGAGATGTACTGGTTTATCTCTAGCTCTTGTTACATGGTAGCAAGCAGAAGGCAACTTGATTTTTTGGTTGCATTACAGTAAGCAGGTTGCATTACTCTTTAGATCACCACACTACAAACACTCCTTTAGCAACGTATAGCTTGGAATAGAAATAAGATGTGTTGCGCCATCTATTCTACAGCCCACTATTCCTCAAGGTTTAGTGGTCCATAAAAATTTCTTACATGCAAACAGTTTAGTACAATGATTTTTTTTACGATGATACTTTGGCCGATACAGCTCTGTCAATTCTATCCTGCTTCACATGTCTGAGTAATCTATTTTTTCATGGGCACATGCTCGGCTTGACATGTATGAGACTTTTGAGTAATAATCCATTTGTTCATTGGCCTACATGCTTACAAAAATACCTTAAAAGTACTGAAATGCTCACTCACATATGTTAATTTCGTGTGCTACTAGAACTAGGATCCTTGCTTAGTATTTATAATTTATTTTAGGGCTGTTAGCACTGGATTGAAGTATCTCTAGATTGCAATTTCTTATTTGCAGAAGACTTTTCGTAATGCGCGGGGAAATGTTTGAGGTGCGAGTTGAGTGTGTATATGCATCCAATTGGTGTTTTAGTGACTTGTTCTCATATATACCAACTTTTAGGCTGTGGAAATGATGAATTCTTGCATGGCTGAAAGGACAAAGATGAAAAGTGAAGAAGAAAGTAACAAGATTCTGCTGAATGAGACTTGATAAAGAAGACTGCAAAATCACACGTGTTTATTCAACAATCCTTATGTATTGTGCACTTGTTGCTTACATGGTTCCAACTTATTCGACTATAATTACGAAGTATGTATGGACATAGTACAATCATTGGTTAGTGTTCATATTGCCATTTGTTATTGTATTGCTCATACATGATTATTAAAGTTATTTTGTTCTTCAAATCACGGCAGGCAAGTTCTAGTCAGTTGCATAAGGGGTTATAAAACCTGGTTCTACATGTGAAAAGGACGATAGCACATAGTATAACAAAGGGACGATAGGACATAGTATAACAAAGGGATCCATGAACTAGAGCTATTACCAGTTTTGCAGCATTTCTGTTCTTCAATGTCAAAAACGCTGCTTCAGCAAATGCTTGTGCAGCTTGGGCTTCTGCTTCTGCAGCCTCTGCTTCTTTCGCTGCAGCTTCAGCTTCTGCCATGATGGCCTCTGCTTCAGCAACTGCATGAGCTGCAGCCACTGAAGCTTCCTCAGCAGTCATTGTTGACATTCGTGCCAATTCAGCATCAATTTGAGATCTGGTAAGGGTTTTACTATCATCGCTCCATATCTTGACAGGCTCTCTTTGCACATCTTCCAACAGCAGCATTTTGGGGCTTCGGCCCTCTGAATTGGGTGAACTAGGTGCTATCCTGTACTTCCGATTCACCTGCAACCTCCCAAAGGGCCACATGCTCATAAGTTCTAGATTCTTGGCATGGGTAGTAAATATTGTCTACCGCCATGGTAACAAATAGCCCAATTTCAAGATTTAACAAATGGCACATTCTGATTAGCTCAAAACAAGACCATTAAGCATTAAGAGATCAGTCATGAACACCAGAGCCTAAAAAAACATGTCACAGAACCATGGTGTTTTGCTAAGTACAAACAAAATAGCAAGCCTGCAGTTCAACAAGGATTGACATGAAAATGAACAATAAACAGTATGCAAAAGTGATTTCAGATACTTAAAGAGTAAAAAACATGTGTATGCGCTTCTCAGCAAATACATGTAAATACAGCAAAGATATCTTGGGAAACCTTAATAAATACTGTTTTCACAAATATTTCATCCCAACTGTTCTGCTTGCATGAAAAATAGGATTATGACGGTTTAACTGGATGCACCCACTTAGTGTGGTATAGTAGTCTCACATTTGGAAATAGCTTTATTTCCCTTAAGGCGTACCTTTATCAATTTGCCACTGGTCGACAAGTCCTTCAGTTTTGCAGATAGTAAGTGATCAAAATCACTAGGTGGCCAATATTGCTCCTACGTAAAACAAGGGTAAGAAACTGATTCCACATGTAGCAAAGAGCAATCATGACTTATTTCAACAAGACTGTCAAATAAGCAAGCATGATAATTTCAAACGACATAAGTACTCAGCCAGAAGACACAGTGCAACAGTCTTCCTTTCATAAAGCTGGAAGAGGGTGAACAGAAAGTTCGTTCCACTTCTTGCCTAAAAAGATACAGGAAATCTTATGTTTCCCTACCTATTGGATTCCACTAGTTTCTTATGGTGCGATACAATCAGGTTAGGTGTAGTGCAGTTTTAGTTTCTGCCTTTCTGGTAATGTTCTACAGTGATCTGACCGCTCAAACATATACAAAGTGCAAAAAAGGGCACCAACAATAAAGGTATATAAATGTGGATGAAAGAGACAATGACATTAGACATTACCTAAAAAAAGACAGTATTAGGAGTGTTCATTTGTAGGCAACCACTAGAAACATAGATCTAGTACTGAAAAAGAACAAAAGACTGATGCATACCTCTATGTAATTAGCAATAGTAGTTCTGTGTGACCCCGTAGGCTCATTTAAATTCTTTATAGCCTCCATTATAATATTATCTAGCCTGCAGGAAAGCTATTAAACTGAAGTGGAGCATCAAAAGTATCTAGTTTTCTATTGACAAATGACAACAAAGAAAAAAAAGGGTTAAATTCCAGATTTGCGTGTTATACTTAGACATATATAAATACCTTGAGTGAGATTTCTTCGAATTTGATGTGTTCTTTGCTTCACTAGGCAATGATGCTATAGGCTTTTCGTCAATAATCTCATCATCAATATCAGAAGTAACTCTGTTGATTGCCATGGTGTGCTCGTTATTCTTGGGAGTAGTTCGGGCTCTCTTCACTGCAGTCTTCACCTTGTCACGAGAACTTGATGTACTGACAATTACATTCATGTTTCGCCATTTGTCCTAAGTATTAAGTAGCAGAGTTGAAAAAAATGCAAACTGAGACCAAAGATAACATGTGAAAATTTACAAATGGCTCGTAATTTTAACAAACAGAGAATTTGGAATACCATTCACTAAAACAAGAGTAGGTAAGAATAATAAAGCGAAAATATCGAACCTTGAGGTCAACATTTGAGCGGTAGCACAAAGTGGAACTAAATTCTGGATCTTTCAATATTGTGCGCCATTTTCCAACTCCATGCCTTGCTATTCCAGCTCTAAGAGCAGCCTCTTCCTCAGAAGTCCACCTTTGTTTTGGAGCCCCCATTCTTAGGCCAAATCTCCTCTGATCAGTATAATGCGAACACAAGTGTGCACCCTCTAACATGAATTCTATCTGTTAGAACTTTGAACATGCTGGTAAAATAAACAGCTACAAGGAGTATGACCAGTGATGAACTATATTTGGTCATTGCCCATGCCAAGCATTGAGTATTCTGAAAATGTCCACTATAAGAATATTTGACCAAAAGAATCTAACATATGCAAGAAAAAACAAACAGAAATGAAAGATTCTATTCATATGTACAACATATAGCCATTCGTGAGTAAAGCAAATTATAAAAGAAAATGTTTTCCATACTGTGCCTCAGAGACTCCACATATTTCACATCAAATACAGCCTTTCATATCTATTGTAGTAGACACACACTAGTCAAACGGTACTGACCTCAACAACGGCCTATGCAACACGACCAGTCAAAGGTGCAGAGGCTTTCCAAGGTAACTTCAGAATTATTTGTTTATCAGAAAAAAAATGAGTTAAAACATTAAAAAGTGGCAACTGGCAGGTCCAACTGTCACCAAGTTTTTCTCATTTATACTTGATACATGAGAAATTCCATTGCTATGTAAAAAACGCCATGCTGCAACACCTAAAATGTTAAAAAACAAGAGGAATATCAGCACAAAACATAGAATATTCCAGTGTAACTTGGGAAAAGTAGTATAACATAACTCCCAAAAAAGAGGGAAATATAACATAAATAGTTAATGAAATAACACACGAGCACATTTCATAAAGCGACAAGCTGCTTTACAGTGATTTTTTCCCTTCAAGCTCCCCATTACACCATTCTTAAAGTTCCTATTATTGCTTAAAACGCGAAGGAAAATCAGTTTTATCTTTTTTAGGTTGCTGGTGTAACAAACTCAATAAGATATCAAAGCAGAAGATTATGCGTATCTACAGGGGTGGAGCTTAAGCTAGGCCAAAGGGGGCCATGGCCCCTCCTCAACCTATGTGCTTTCTACAGAATCACTTGAGTTTAGGGAGCAAATTTGTTAAACAAAGAAAGATATACATTGCTTGGCCCCTCCTATATTTGTCAACAAGCTCCGCCACTGAGTATCTAACCAATTTGGCTCATTCATCATACCGGCTAGGACCAACCTGATTAGTCTGGGCTAGGGTCGTTCCTTGTTCTTTTTGTTACAAAGGTGTTTGTTGTTTTTCTAGTATTTTAAGGCAACCTTCTCTTATCCTCTAGTCAGATGAGAGGGTTGTGTACTTGTGCTGTATGGGACTGATATTTCCCTCTCTTTAATACAAAGATACACAGATCTACTGCATGTTCCAGAAAACAATGGAAATGTGGTTCAGGCATCTAAATGGCTAGTCTGAGTAAGACCACACGCTGTACTCACATAAGTGCCAGCATGACTGGTCCCGCCAAGCATAACAGTATCACTAAACAATATTAATCCATGTCCTAGATTTTAGATTGAATTCATGTGTGAATCGGTGATGCAGAAACAAAAGGGCAAACGGTGGACATTGTACACTGACATTTGATACCTATACAGGCATTGCAACACTCCTTTTCCTCAAAACTAACCAGATATTGCTTCAGAGCAAAGGACTTAAAATATTTTACCTGCATAACAACTGAGGCAGCAGGAAAATCGCAACACCATAATGGCACAATTTATATACCAGTGGTTAAAATTCATGCAGAGAAACCATCTTAAGATAGAGTGCACTGTGTGCACAGACCACAATCACAATGGAAATATCAAACAGAAATAACGCATGATGGTTTGCTTTTGAATTTTAATCCAAAACTGTTTCACATAAGCCACATCGAATCAGCGTATCAAACTTAGGCCCTGTTTAGATTCCAAAAATTTTCACACCAAAATATCACATCGAATCTTGCGGCACATGCACGGAGTACTAAATGTAGACGAAAAAAAAACTAATTGCACAGTTGGGTGAGAAATCACGAGACGAAACTTTCGAACCTAATTAGTCCATAATTAGATACTAATTACCAAATACAAACGAAAGTGCTACAGTAACCAAACAGTAGCCAAACCAGAAAAAATTGGGAACTAAACGCGCCCTTAGCACAGGCCAAGGGCAATCACCCATCTCTCAGATCCAGGGCAAGGCTTAGCGTGGACCATGGAGCATGGGGTTCAATCGAACCTGCAATTTCTTTTTGGAATAAAAAATGCAATAATATATCGGATCCAAAGTGCTAGGCGTCATATGGGACCCCATTTGTTTTGGATTGGAACCGAGCGAGAACTATGTTTTACTCGATACTCCATCATGAAGTAAATCCGGTACCAACTCATGCAGATAGAGAAGAATTTGGATTAACTGCTCTGACAACCCGCAACCCATCGTTGAAAAATCCAACCAAGCAAGGTGCTAGGGCTTACCACTAGAAGAATCGATCCCCTGTTCGGATAGGTCTCCGCTTCACGTCGGGCACTCCAATCCGAAGCCAGTGGAGTGGGAAGAAGGAAGGAGGGGGCGGACAAGGAGGAGGCCGACGATCGGGAGAGGGAAGAGTGGGCGGCGTGGACCGTGGAAATGAGGCTGGAGCGCGGCGCGGCTCGGGCACCTGTCAAGCAGGGGACACCGACGAACTGTTTGATATAGGGCGCAGGGTGGCCGAGCCCGTCAGCCACGGCCTGGTCCATAGCAGATACATGTGGTTTGTTTGATTTCCTGCAGCCCGAGCCGCTCCAGTGTTTGATTTTTAAGCAAACAACCAAACCCAGCACTAACTATCAGACTAAGATATGTTTGATTTCGGCCTGGCTGGGCAACAACCAGCAACCAACAACAAGAATAGATCACAACGAAGCTAGCAGCATAAGGATCAATGCTTAATGAACAAGTGCATAATTCAAACAGACTTTTACAAGGTGCCGAAATACAATTAACTGACAACACATTAGCCTCAGACTACTTAGGTAATTAACCATGAAGTCATAGCTGCTCAAAACTTATAAATTACCAATAAAGCAAGACAAAATACCAACATGAACAGCCTAATAAGTAAGCAGCCACTACTTGAACAAACAGAGGAGATAGGCAACAGAAATTGATGACACAAATTAGTAAGTCACAGCAGCAGCTCATCCATCATGGGGGTGTAGTCATCACATGCTTAAGTGTGGTGATTGCTGCCAGTGTTGCCCTCTTCATCCATATCCCAACCACCAAGATAACAAGTGAGGTGATTAACATCTTCTTCCACCAACCACCCTTATCATTACCATCAAAAGGAGGAATGATTGGAGCAAAAGCATCATGAGTGATAGGATCAATATGTAGGGAAGGTGCTGCTCCATGAGATGGATGGACATCTCTCATTACTGCATGATAATCTCTAACAGCTTGGTCATAGTTGTTATACTTCTTGTATATAGCACCTCTCACCCCAAGAACATGCCTACTACACTCCTGCCAACTCTGATAAATCCCAGGATGCTTCCCATTGAAAACAACATAGTACCCAGCCATTTCTGTGAAATCAAACAACGGTTTAGCCTCAGACAAATGTAATTCATGAAACTAGCCATGAGTGTGGAACTTGAAGATTTACGATTTGTGGTGAAACAAATCATTGATCTTAAGTCCCTCATTGATGACCAGCTGAAAGCTCTAGTTTGGTTTTGGTGAATTGATGAAACCCTAAGTGCTAACCTAGTTTATCAAGTGATCATGAGATAGGTAGCACATTCCAAGTGGTGAAGCAAATGAAGATCATAACATGATGATGGTGATGCCATGATGATGATCAAGTGCTTGGACTTGAAAAGAAGAAAGAAAAAAAACAAAAGGCTCAAGGCAAAGGTATAAATTGTAGGAGTCATTTTGTTTTGGTGATCGAGACACTTAGTGAGTGTGATCACATTTAGGATCGATAGCCGTACTATTAAGAAAGGTGAAACTCGTATCGAAATGCGGTTATCAAAGTGCCACTAGATGCTCTAACTCATTGCATATGCATTTAGGATCTAGTGGAGTGCTAACACCCTTGAAAATGTTTGTGAAAATATGCTAACACATGTGCACAAGGTGATACACTTGGTGGTTGGCATATTTGAGTAAGGGTTAGGAACTTCACCGGCGGAGTGTCCATCCGTAGAGTGTGGCCAGTCCGACGGTGCCACCGGCGCCCTAGACAGAAAAGACGGAGATCACTGTAAGTGACTGGACGCTGGTCTCAGTAGGACCGGTGCGTCCGGTCAAGAGGAGCATGAAGACGCTGGCGTCGGTCTCTGACCGGATGCTGGGTCACTTGGTGACCGGACACACAGCCACAGAAGAGTCACCGTGTGACCGGACGCTGGGTGAGTTCGGTCGAGCTTGACCAGACGCGTCTGGTCATGAAAAGTCATCTCTGGATGCTTACTAGAAACGACCGGACGCTAGGGTTCAGCATCTGGTCACTTTGAGCTACTGCGTCCGGTCATCACATGACCGTTGAGATCGAGCGCTCAGTATTTGAAGAGAGGGGACACGTGGCACGCATCGCGTGACTGGACGTTGAGGTCCAGCGTCCGGTCAATATGACCGGAGCATCCGGTCACCCCGTGTTGTGCCCAGTTGAAAGGTCCTTGTGTGGTTTTGGTAATTGAGTGACAAACTAGGTGGACTAATTGTGTTTATGTGAGATACACAGGTGATTAGTCCACAGGTACATGTGTGTGAGCAACATATGCCATGAAGGCAAAAATGGCTTAGAGATGTTGTAAAGCTCACACATGTGATGATGAAGGAGCTTATTGCACATAAGACATGACATTGAGTCATGTGATCAATGTGGAGAAGATCAAGACAAGGCTTGGCTTGATGGACCGGTCGCAAGCGTGAAGGGCAAGTCGGAGGCTTTGGAGCGATGGACCGCGTGGCGGTGAAGCTTGAGCAAGACCTGGCGCCGATGGCCGAAGGCAATGGTGAAAAGCAAGTGAAGTCAAGATCGATGAACCAATATGATCACATGATGATATGAAGTGGATCAT